CCCCTTCTGCACATACTTTCCGCTATCATAACCTTTGGAACTTCTCTTCTGCACTTACTTCCCTTCAACCTACCCTCTGGCACTCCTCTTCTGAACATACTGCCCATCAACATACCCTCTGCCACTCCTCTTCTGCACATACTGCCCGTTATCATACCCTCTGGCACTCCTCTTCTGAACATACTGCTCATCAACATACCCTCTGCCACTCCTCTTCTGCACATACTGCCCGTTATCATACCCTCTGGTACTCCTCTTCTGCAAATACTGCCCGTCATCATTCACTCTGCCACTCCTTTTCTGCACATACTGCCCGTCATCATACACTCTGGCACTCCATCATCATACTCTTCGCAATGCTCTCCTGCAAATACTGCTGCATAGTCATACCCTCTGCACTCTTCTCGCTGTAATATCCCCTGCACGCCTCTCCTGTATATACTGTCCTCTGAAGACACTTCTTTAGCATTATTGTAAAATCCCCAATGCTTTTGTTTAAACTCCTATCCAATCCCTGTATGGATGCACAGTAGTTTGTGTTGAACAAAACTAGGAAACTTGTTTCTGTTATAGGAGCATTATGGGACAAGTGAAAAACACTCATCCCCATAATTCAAACCAACTTGTGACACTGAAGCTTACACAGGTTGTCTCTATTAGGCCCCGTTCACATTGAGCGATTTATCGCGCGTTAATTCCCGCGATATCGCTCTCCAATGCTTGGCAATGGGGCAAAGGGTCCTGCTGTCGCGGGTCGTGCGTCGCTACAGCAGGACCCTTTTTGGAGCGGATTTTGCCGCGATTCCAGCTTGCTTAATGCAAGCATTTGCGCGATATCGCATATAACGATTTGCAAATCGCACAGTGTGAATGGGGCCAAAATTGGGAAGTCAGCGAACACATAACGCCGTTCGCCGACTTCCCGATCCTCTCCCGGCAAACAATCACCGCTCCCCACAAGGATTCCCCCCTCCCCTCTACGTTTCTCCAGCACTGACTGGAGGAACGGATGGGGGAGGGGGTGGAGATAGCTGGCTCTGCCTCTAGAGAGGCAGAGCCAGCTGTCAATCAGCCAGCAGGGTGGATGTCACCAGTATTGCGGGATCCGTCTCGGCTGCAGCATTCTCCGAATATATGCTGAGTTTTGGGTCACCGGGGGACATTGTAGATGTCCTCCCGAGGCCCTGAAGAGAACTATGAGCAAAAAAGGTTGCCCCAAAAGTTCTCCTATAAAGTATATTTAAAGCCAAAACTTTTGTTTTCATTTACATAGAGTAGGGAATGGTTAAATCCCCCAGCAGTTTTTTCTTGCCATCTGTGTCCCTTTACTTCCTGTCCTGCAGACACAGACGTTACCAAAACAAGTATAACGAATGTACGATTTCCCTTCTATTTCTGTTCTGGTGGCAACATTTTTCCATCACTTTCAGTCCCAGTGATCATGCTCACATGACAAATAGAGAGAGTGAATCGCCCTAGCAGGGACAGGCAGGAATAATGGCATACCAAGGGTTCTAACCCTTCACCCTCGATATGCAAAACAAACAAAAAAAAAGTTTGTCTTTAGTCAAGGGCTGGTTCACACCGGCTGCATTGGGCAAGGAAAGCAAAGACAAAACTATTTGCCTTGTTTTCAATTGTCTCAGTTCACACTACAACGTTCAGGCCCGATGCAGACCTACGCAATCCGGGATCGAGCGGTCCTGCACAATGCAGGCCACGATGGCCGCGCGGCCACATTCATTTCAATCAGGTGACATCCTCGCAGCGATCGCAGAAAAAAGGTATATGTACCTTCTTTTTGCGATACACGACACGCGCCTGTTTTAGCCACGATCGTGTTCGGAAGCACGGGCGGAATCTCGGCGGGAAACCGCATGATCCGCACCCTGGCAAAATAATGGCACCCACAGTGCGATCGGTGCACACCTAGGCGACTCCTGACCGCGCGGAATCGCGCACGACTGCCGTGCGGTGTCGTCTAGGTGTGTACCAGCTCTCAAGAAACACCATTCATTTCTGAAGTTGAATGTTAAAAACCCCCAAAAAATTAAAATGACATTCTACAAGTCTCTGATGGCATTATGAAACATTCTGACGAAAATATAAGTGTATAATGCAACTAGGTATTCCAGATTGGTAGGTTAGAGGTTTTTACTCCATCAATTATGTTAAAATTACACTAAACTCAGGCGTTCAATCTTTAGGCTAAGTTAACAGTCACTTAGGCGATTTATTGCGTGGATTGAGTTGCGCAAAACAGAGATTCGCATTTAAGTCAATGGAGGCTGTTCACACCTTTGCGGTTTGTCGCAAAAATGGTGCAGGAGCTATTTTTGCGGTTTGGGTCCCATAGGCATCTCTATGCATAGAACAGTCGCACAAATTAAAATGCGTGAAAACCGCTCACCAACTCAGTCGCCTAGGTGTGAACCTAGCCAAAAAATAAATTCAGGTACCTTAAAAGGAGAACTATGAGGCGAGTGCTTTTCACTCACCTCATAGTTCTAGCCGACCTGTGACAATGAGACTGTCACAGGTCGGCTCAGTAGATCGGGAGGTGAGCAAACACATACCGGGTTCGCTCACCTCTCGATCCTGTCATGGCTCTCTGCCGTGACAGGGGGAGGGGCTGGATTCCCCTCTCCCTGCTCCGATCTGTCAGCGCTGGCTGGCGGAACGGACGGGGGAGGGGGCGGGTACAGCTGGCTCTGCCTCTAGATAGGTGGCTGTAGCTCACGGTATACTGAGCTTAGGGTAACGGGAGGACGCTAGTTTGTGTCCTCCCGTTACCCGAAGGAGAACTATGGGGGAAAACACTGACCCCATAGTTCTCCTTTAACTATTATCAAAAATGTACCTTATCTGTGTATCACTCGGCTGTAGATCCTCCAATCATCTCTGAATTTATGCTGACACTGTCCTTCCTTCTGAAGGGTGGCTACTTTTGCTCCCCATGGTTCCTGTGTGTGTTGTAAATTAGTCACCGCTCCAAGCTCACTCAATCTCAATACACATTAGTAAACTAAACACGACATTGTAGTCCTTTACGGGAGTGAGCTATGGGTGGTGGCGACTAGACAACACACACAGGGACCATGGGGAACAGAAGTAGCCACCGCCCAGTAGGAAGGACAGTGTCAGAACCAATTCAGAGATGATTTGAGGATCTACAGCCAAGTGATACACAAATAAGCTGCATTTTTGTCAATAGGGTACATGAATGCATTTTTAAGATTTAACTCCTGAATTTAGTGTCACTTAAACAACAGAAAAAAAATACAACTTGCACCATGGCATGCCAACCAGAAGTGATAAGGGCAAAACGACTAAACACACATTACCATAACAAGAATTTGCCTTTCAAATGCCTTTGGCTGGATTGAACTAAGCCGTGACTCACACCTTAACTTAAAAACAATCAAACACCAATGCTTTTAATGCCCCATTCACACTACCTGCGTCAAGTTTTTGCTGCATTGGTTACACATCCACATAGGGCAGCCCATTCATTTCAATTTGATGCCCTACGTACAACAAACGTGGCAAAGAAGCTCATGCAGCTGTTTAACCTGTGAGCTTCATGCGCTTTTTGAATACAAGTTTCTACACTTTTGTGCAAATACGTGCATCTTGCTTTGCCATGTTTGAGAAGCCATTAACAATAATGGCAGCACAAGAGTGACACGAGGCTTGTTTACACCAATCGCGGAGCAGGTGCAGAGCAGAGCAGTTACTAAACGCATCAAAACTGAGTCCAATGTATTCCAATTCTATTTTGGGTTATAGTTCACACCACAGTGTTCAGTTCCAGAGCATGTGGAAAAACTGCAGCATGCCCTATTTTTTTCTGCTCTGGAATGCACCAAAACGCATGCAAATGCCCTGGAACACACTGAAAACCCATTTTAGGTTTTTAAAAAATGATTTATTTATTTTTATTTACAAAAATGGCCTGGAACGTGTCAAAACTCACTGCGCTGCATGTGCAGAAACTCATGCAGATGTGGTCTGCATTTGGTGTGAACAAGCCCACAGGCTTTTTAAGCATTTCATGAATGCATTCACACAATTTGTGTAAAGGGTAAATGGGGCTCTTGAAATTGTGCCTATTCACCTGCTCTCAGGCAACACAGCTATTATTGAAGCAGAATGGGGTGTTTTTGGGCCCCATAGACTTCAATAGGAGCACCTAAAGAACTCCTAAGGCCGGGTTCTCGCCTAGGCGGCATCGTTGTCTGTCTGTGCACGCGCGTTCAGCGTGAGGTTATTTGCACTTTATGCGCATGCCGCACATTTTGATGCACGTTTGTACGCACATACATGAAGACGGGCATTTTGACTGGCAGCTTAAGAAACATTGCGGGTAATAGACAAAAACGCACAAAAATGTGCAACATGCATTTTCGGGCGTTTCCATTGAAGTATATGGGGCAAAAAAACGTGCTGTTAACCGCCAAAAGAAGCTCATTTACCTTTTCCGGCTGGCACTTTGCTGCTCAGGTGTGAACAAGGGCCATTGAAAATGATGGGATGTCTTCAATTGGGCGTTTAAAAGCGCTTTTCCAACCGCTCGAAAAATCCTAGCTGTGAACCAGGCCTAAGAATCAGCATTTTTCAAGCATCTCCTCCTAATACCTAGCTTTCTACTGGCTATGACAAATACACTCAAGCCTGAAGCTTGAAAAAAACGGGGGGAAAACCCCAAGAAAATCACCTGTAAACGCTGAAGTGGGGATGCAGCTGAAACCGGCGAGAGATGTTATGACGCCAGCGCCTAATGAATAAATCTCTGTGGTCAACTTTCCCAGCACCCTCAGCTCCCATGTTATTTAATACTGGAAGACAAGTGCGACTTCACCAAGTAGGGATCATAGGAAATAGTCGGGGACATAAAGCTGGAAGACATAGCGCTACGACCATTATTAAAAAGCGGCCCTAATAAATCATTCCTAGCCAGCCTCCGATCACTAGTTATAAGGTAACAGAACGCTATTTACCCGTCTGCAGATCTCCGATGACAAGCTGAAAGCGCTGCCCTATTGCTCCTCTATCCTCAGCACTTCTAGCAGCTAGTCAGAAGTGACGTCACGTTCTCTCGAGACAGAGGTCACATGACGGCGTTGCTAAGGTGTGCATAAGCAAGTACCAGAGCGGTAGAGCTAGAGCTGCGCCACACGGAGCAATCGTTTCCTCACTGCTGGTTGTTTGGTATCTGGATGGCACCCAAGCAGGCGTCAATAGCTTCCAGCATGATAAAATGGCCCAAAAGAAAGATGCAGAATGGAAATACTATCCAAAAGGCGCATCAATATGGGTGATGTCATTTATCAGTTTTGATAATGAACATTCTAGTAGGTTATTTTAATCCAATGGCTTCATTCATTTCTCAGTCACCGAACTGTGCTGTTATGTACAGTCAGTGCCGTGACTGACAGGAGGGAAGGCAAGCTTAACTCCTTCATGACTGAGGCCTTTTTTTTTCTCCATTTTTTTGCACCCACTTTTAATTCCACATTTTAGGCCTGAAAATTACTTAAAATCCCCAATCGTATGTTTTTCTGAAAGCCAAGACCCTATAGAATAAAATGGTGGCAATTGCAAATTTTTATGTTGCACGATATTAGCGCAACATCTTAGCAAACCCCATAATGTTGTGAAAAATGCACCTAAATGCCCCAAGGCACAATAAAATACCAATTTTTAAATAAAATATAAAAGAGGTTACAATGAGTAGATAGATACACAACATGCCCAGATTAAAAATTGTGTGCATCCGCGAAACGGCGACAAAATTCAGTACCCCAAAAAGTCCATAGGCGACGCTTTAAAAGCCCCTACAGGTCATCAGTTTAGAGATGCCCAAAAGTACTGGCCCTAGAATTATTGCCCTCACTCCGGCATGCGCGGCGATACCCAGCATATGTAGCGCGATTGTCGTTTTCATACATATGCGCACCCTACGTGTGCTCGCGGGGCGGGGGACTTTAAAAAAAATGTTTTTATTGTTTTTACATTTATTTTATTTGATATTAATTTTAAAAACTGTTTTTGTTTTGTTTTGTTTTTAACTTTAATTGCTATCACATAGGGGGGCTTACAAGTCCCCCATGCGATAGCAGATTAGTGGTGAGAGTTACTCTTTAAGGTGATGCTGGAGGTCCAAAAGACCCCTAGCACCACCTTTATACTCTAAATAAGCTATTGAAGTGCAGATCGCACTTCAATAGCTTACAGCTGGGCTTCAGGAGCCCAGCACTGACAGGATCAGCAAATGGAGGGGATCAGCGAATGGAGGTTCATCCATCTCCTTCCCGTATCCCCTCGACACCAAAGAAGCCGGTCCTGGGCCCCGTAGGAGGGGCAACGGAGCCCGGAAAACAAGGCGGGGGTGTCAGAGGGGGCGACCCATTCACCGGCCCGTAAAAGCGATTTGGCGACAGCTGAGCCACCAGAATTGCTTCTACTGTAAAGCCGACAGTCGGCTTTACAAGTTTAAACAGAGTCCCGGCGGCAAAAGTCGCCGGGAGCCTGTTTAAACAGCCCCGATGCAAGTGACGTACGCTTTACGTCGCTGGTCATAAAGGGGTTAAAGAAGAACGCCAGGAGAAATTATGCTTAGCCCTTGCGGTGGGGCTACCCCCGCACTACAAGAGTTAAGTGCTCGGTTTTGTCTAGGGTGTAGAATAACAGTTATACTCACCTGAGCCTCGCAGCTGGCTCTTAGACCGATCCCTCCAGCCTGCCTTTACCTCTGCTTCAGGATGGAATGTCCCTCGGTGTCCCTTATGTCCCATATACGGTGGGATTTATCAAAACTGGAGCAGACAAAATCAGGAGCAGTTGCCCAGGGCAGCCAATCAGCTTCTATCTTCAGTTTAGATTTGAAAGATAGTAGCTGATTGGTTGCCATGCGCAGCTACTCCAGATTTTGCCTGCTCCAGTTTTGATAAATTTCCCCTCATAGAGTTTTGGACATGATGACTCAAGGATCCTTAGGTCCCTTTCACACGGGCGGTCCGATCGGATGCCCAATGCAAGCCTATGGGCAGCTGTGTGAAAACGGACGGGTATTCATTTATACCCGGTTTCGCCGGACTGGATCGTGTAGGATCGGTGGTAATTTGATGTAAACAGACACATGTCCATTTACATCCGATCCCCCATTGACTGGCATGGGGTCCGGCAGTTTCAGTTCTTTGGAATAAACTGTATGGACATGGATGTCACAGCAGTGACATCCGCTCTGTACTGCTCTGATCAGGAGGATCCATGCATGTATCCTCTCCTGATCAGCCCATGTGAAAGGGGCCTTAGACCTCTGGAGCCAGCAGCCCCACTGCAAGGGTTAAGAGTAATGTTTCCCGGAGTTCTTCTGTTTAAAAATGAACTCTGGAAAGAAAGAATTACCCTTGCAGTGGGGCTACCCCACACTGCAAGGTTTAACTGCTCATTTTGGTCTAGGGTGTAATATCTTTAAAAAATTCACCCGATCCTGGCTACTAGACCAGTTCCTGCAGCCTTTCTGCCCCTGAACTCTGGCAGTGGAATGTCTCTCGGTGGCCTCACGTGATTAGGCTGGCGGAGTGGAGGGGTAGGGAGCGAAGCCAATTCCTACAATTGGCACAAATAAAAACTGACGTGTGTTTCTTTAGTGCTTCGTTTGGGCTGTTTTGTGCCATAAAAATTATTTTTAAGATAATAGCAATTGTTTGGGTTTTTTTAGATGATGATATCATCATCATCCAACCCCCTACAGCAGCAAAAATACATTAAACCAGGCTGGTTGGTTAGTGCCACATTTGTGATGGTTTGTGCTGTTTAAATCTCCATTCTATCTCCTTTCGTTTTTGAGTTAGTAACTAGTTATCAACCACTTGCAGACCGGGGTGCTAAACCCCCTTCATGTCCAGTCCATTTTTCAGTATTCAGCGCTGCAGTACTTTGACTGATTCAGTCATGCAACACTGTACTGAAATGAATTTTTTTATAATTGTTTGGGGACAGATAGAGCTTTCTTCTGGTGGTATTTAATCACCACTGGGGTTTTTATTTTTTGCTATATTAAGGAAAAATGTTGAAAAAAAAACAGTTTCCTCTATATTAAATTATGAAACATTTATTATTACCCAATTTGTTGGTAAAATATAAAAGATGGGGTCACGTCGGGTAAAAAGACACCAAATGTCAAGCCTTAAAATTGCACACGACCGGAAAAGCTCAAAAAATACAATACCCAAAATTGTCCATAGGTGACAAGTTAAAAGCTTTTACCGGTCATCAATTTAGTGTTATCAGTGATTGATGGCCCTAGAATTATTGCTCGCACTCTGACATATGTTTATATGTGCATATACATGGGAATTTAAAAAATGTGGGGGTTCACATTTTTTTTTACACTTAATGTTATTGCTATCACAAAGTGGGCTAACAATGTGATAGCACAGGCACACTGACAGGTCATCTTTATGGAGACATTAGGGGTCTCTGAGACCCCTAATGTCATCTGAGGACCCCCAGTTTCTCCCCCATCCCCTAAATAGATCTGCTTCACTAGCTTCTTCTCTGGCTATAGCAGCCAGAGAAATGACCGCTGAATGCGGAAGTGATGTAATACACACCACTTCCGCATTCAGAGATCGGAGAGGAGATCAGCAAGTGAAACAATGTTGATCTCCCTCTCATATTGATGCTGAGAGCCGCCGAGCCGTCCCTGGGCCCACAGAGGGGACAGCGGAGCCTGGAATAGAAGGTAACGGCGGTGGGGATGGGGGGGGCTGCGCTGAAGAGGGTGCGCACACTGCTGGGCAGCACATACAAGCGAT